ACAGCTCATAGTTTAAGCATAACCCATTAACTCTGTGAAGTGCAGTCTGGATAGATAAAGTGTAAGATAATATTCACCACATTAATATTCACCACAATATTCTGCATTTCTACATACATGTGCTGAATATTGCAAAGGGAAGTGTTTGAATTCTTTCCAGACTCGATCTGATCCTCCTGTATCAACATGACTCAACTCACTACCATCCTCTCATCACAGCCTTAGTGGGGGCCATGACTCACACTGAAAGCTTTTGACTTTATTATGGGCTATTATCTTATCTGCTCTTATTACATTCTATATGATAGACCATGATTACTGTGGTCCAGCAATGTAACATTCCTAGTTTCCATCCAGTCGAGAAGGAAAACATTGTAGGTTGGTAGAAACATACAGATACAGACAACAGATATACTGAAATACACTGAATAACAACTGCTTAATGTGATAATAATAAGGCTTGTTAAAAGGACTAATACAAACTCAGCAGCTATACAGCGTCAGATGAAAGATTTATTGAAGAAAAAAAGAAAATGTGCAAGAACTATGGCAGAAATGAACAGAGTGATCAGCTACAGCTGAGAAAAACAAATCACTCTAATGTTAATAGAGTACTCCATTGATTTAGCGTTACACTCCTGTCACACTGTTGGACTCATAAAGGACAATTAAAAAAAAAAAGTCCTAAATTTGATGCAGCAGAAGCAGAGATGTTCTGCTTTTTACTCCATGCATTATTCTTCCAGCAGCAAGCCGCTCTGCCTAACTGACAGGCTCAGTGTGTGTCTTGTGGTGTATAATGAGCATATAATTCATTGGAGAAAATCATCAAACGTCTTGGCAGACATTCAAAAATATTGGTGGTGTTTCCCATCATCCCCAAGAGTATTTTTAGACATCGAATGGATCAGAGATCATAGCAACTCTGTTCCGTGTGTATAAGTCATATGTATAATAACAAAAAAAACATGGAGACAGACATTTTTACGTGACTCTGGATTGGAGGATTGCTATTAGAAGTGAAACAATAACTACATTAAATCAACCTACCTGAGGAGTTAATGACCCTACCTCATAACAATTAGTATTGATATTCAAAATATTAATATTAAAGACCAGAGTATGGACACCCTTTGCCTTCAGCACAACTTTAATTCTTCTCAGATTAGAATCAACGTGTTGGATAATTATTTAGACCATTTCTTTGAGAAGGAACACACTCTCTTTCCTGAGGTATGAGGTGGGAGGAAAAATGGACCTCACCCTGCTTATTCATGGCCAATGCTTTGACTTCTCTGGATCAATTTGCTCAATTACAAAAGCTTTCAAGTCAAAGGGGTGAGTGGCTGCAAGAGCGGCAGCTGCAGAGAAACCATGAACAAAACGTTATAACCTAGACCCTGTGTCTGTAGCCGCGCTAGCAGCTCCGCGAGGTTGTACTTTGCACTGAACACAAAGTAGAGCTGAGGATGATGAGAATATCATTAGTTTGGCTGTTATCTGGTCATAAACTAAAATATTGAACAAAATTAAATTTGAAACAAATTTATGAGACATTTCGATTAAAAGCCACAAATGTTTTACTTCATGGAGACGCTAGAGGAAAAGTGAGGGGATCACCAATGTCAATAGTCTGTGCCATATCTCATCCAATAATCTCTTATCTAGATCAGTGACACCCTAATACATAAAACCGGTCCAAACCAGGGATGAAACAGTCAGCAACAGGTTGCAGCAGGTAGAACTAAAAAGCAGAACCAGTCAATGAGGACATTTAGGAACGGCAGAGAAGAATGACACACTTGCAGCAGAAATAGCCCACACTTTCCCCACTGTCACACACGATTGGTGATTATTTGGATCAGCTGGTGTTCAGCCGAAGTGACGTGCGCGGTTATGTGTGTGGAAACAGATAGTTACTGTAGGTCCTGAAAATAGCCTACAGCACAGACCTAATTGGAGCAAGAAATGGTGTGTTCGATCCTGTAGGCTGGGTTGGAGAGGTTGTGGGAAGAATCAGAAGAGTGTGGAAGGCCTCATTAAAAACAGAAGCACGCCAGCCTTCGTCCAATTAAAACGGACAGAGTCACATTACTTGCTTTCTTGGATGTGTGTGACTGCATGCACACATGTTCCATACAGTACATGCAGTGGGTTTATTGATTTTATGCTTGTGTTGGAGAGAATATTACATGAAGAAATCATGATATAGGAGATGAATTCATTCATCATCCATTTCTCATATTTAGACCATCACAGGAGAAGGTGTGATTCATACTGTGTGGCACTTCTTATATGTGACATTTTGATCGCAGACTATGAATAAACTATGATTAAATTATCAAGTAACAAATTAACAGTGAGTCGCACTCAACTCTGCTTACGTCGCTTTTTCACACACTTTGGCATCTGTCAGTTCTGGGTACGCACTGTCTGCACTAATGTGTGGTTATGTGGTTGCCAGTATTGATTCATTATACATAACTGAGTTGCAGTCTCTATTTAATTAATGAAGATATAACATTCATGTGAAGCCTTCAGTCTTCTCCAGTGGATGCAAGACAGTCAGGTGTAGATTAACCATGTGACACTGTCCAGGTCACATTAGGTATTGAATCTGCTTTGTTATGTTATAATGTTACTCGTTGTGGCAAAGTTTGGATGCTTTTATGGTTTTAGTGAACCTAAAAAATATAGAAATGTGAATACAATTACATGCACGCAGTAAATTTATATGCATGTTCACCTGAGCAAATTGTGAGGATGTGATAACTTTTCTCTAAATGAATTCCTTTTTGTGCCTTTTTTTCCTTCTCAGACAATTTATTTATTTTAATCTTCAACACCCCTGATTTTCCAGGTTTGCAAAAAAATAAAATCTGAAATGTCTGACATGTGCCCTCATCATGCAGGGGATACGCACTTTCAGCTTCACCATTCTCTTTTCCTCTCCACATGGACTTTCAGTGTTGTTTTTAGTGTGGTGTAATTTTAGCCAGTTGGTTTAGGGGCAACAGAGATATGCATTTCTCCCATTAGCAACAGTAAGTAGTTGACTGGTTGAATGTCTAAATGGGCAGCTAGACCAGTGGATGAATCATACCCCTGATGTTCTAATCTAATGGTTCACTAATCTATAATTCACTGCAGTCTATTATCAGAAAAATAGCATGAATGGAAACCATTTGCATAAGTATTTTGAACCCTTTATTCTTTGCACTTAGAGCTCCATGCGCACACACCTGCATTTCAGCCACTCAAGCTCAATTCGGTTGGTACATCAGTGAACTGGTATTTTCAGGTTTTTTCGATAATATAGATTTTTTTTTGGTCACTATTTTGTATAGTGAATGGAAAATGCAAATCAAAAGGTAGATTATGAGACAAGTGAGTGGAGTGTTGTCTTTGTTTGCAGTGAACACAGTATCCACTCCTATTTTTGCAGCAACATATTCCCCAGTTGTTGAACTAAGAGCTGAGAACAGCTCTTTGACCAACAGCTCAGACTGCAGTTTAACCGGGCAGGTGCCAGCTATGAATGATACTAAAGTGCAGAGTAAAACAGAGCAGTGCTCTCAGTTGAAGGTCCCCTGGTTAAATAAGGTTAAAGAAAGATGCTATACTACTGAACTGAAAATGGGAGAAACACCTTTTAATAAAAAAGGAGAGAAAGGAGAACGGTAATGTAAAATACACAGATTACTCTTTCAAGACCAAAATACTGTGTGGCGTTACAGGCAGAAAGATTGTGCACATTCGTAGACAGCTTGTGTGCACCAAGCAAAGCAGATCAGACTCTGACCGCAAGGAGAAATAAGCAGGAGAATACCAGTTACGAAACAAACAAAAAGTAGCCACAGCGCCTTGGGAACAACAGTGTGTGAAAATACAATAAAACAAGTTTTAATGATCCTGTCATATAATATAGGCCCACAATCAAAAACAAAAACAAACTAGTAGTGTGTATCTGCTTTATGCAAATATGTGAACATACTATAGATGCAGAGGGGAAAAAAATAAAAGCACGGAGGAATCATGTTTGCAACTGGTCCAGTAAAATGGCCTCACATTTTGTTGGCCGTTTTAAAAACCCTGCAGAACATTGACTGGTCCAAATGACTCCTACGAGATGGCTGCTCATACCATGACAGATCCACCTCCATGTTTAACACCTGGCAAACGACACTGTGGGTTGAACGCATCTTTGGCTTTATCCAAACAGAAACTGGTCCAGATAAAAAACAAAGACAATTAATCAGTGCATATTACTTTTACTTTGCTCTGTTTTTTTTGTCCTTACATTACATTACGCATCATTTTAAGCACGACTTGTGCAGAAATTAATGGAAAGAATGTTTTTAATATAGTATCATGGATATGTTCAGTTTTTAATTTTGTAAAATGTAGCAGTGTTTGTGATCAGATCTGCTGTCCAGCCAGATTTGGGCTGCCTTATGTTGTTTTGAAAAATCCAATAAATAGTGACTGTCAGGCCTTATTTCACACAAGAGATGCAGCTCAGAGTGATTAATAACAAGTCAAACAACTTAAAATAACTGGTGTCACTTCACTGTACATCTCACAATGTAGAATTTAATGAGTGGTTTATAACACCAAAATGTATAAGGACATTTTGAATCTTTAATAATGTTCTATTAATCATTCAATTAATTATTTGGTCTATATATAAGAAATAGTGGGGAAAAAATCAGCATTGATTTCTTCAGCTTGTTTAACAGTCCAAAACACAAAGATATTCAGTGTGCTGTTATGTAAGATACAGAAAAACAAAAAATCCTCACAGTTAAAAGGTTGGAACAAAGAAATGTTGGAATTTTTATTTCTGAGGAATGGGTTGAAAGGATAATCCATTATCAAAATACTTCATTTTCTGTTGATCAACTCTTCAATTAAGCAACAAGTTGCTTCAGGTCTGAACTATGCATTAAAGATAAAAGGACATTTAAATTTAAGTTGTTTTTTTTTTTAAGTGAGTTTTCAGTAGGGCCTTAAACAGCTCATTTGAAGTTGCTGTCCTCAGATCAGTGGGGAGACTGTTCCAGAGTCTGAGTCCAAAACTGAAGACGGCAGCTTCACTGCAGGTCTTTGTCAGAGTTTCTGGCACAGCGAGCAGCAGAGAGTCTGAGGGCTCTGTGATGGAAACATCATGGCAGCACATCACAGTCGGTGGCAAACACTGGGATTTGAAGAAACTATCCAAACTATTCAAAGACGACTTATTTGGGAGAGCTGTCAACAACAGATGCATAATACTACTTCAACTTCATATAACTAACTCCAGCTGTAGATTGTGGTGACAGTTCTTTTGCAGTCCATTTGTCATGGTGTTAATATTAATTTGTCGTTGTGGCATAAAGACAAAAGCTTTCATTATTACTGGTAAATGAGTTAAGGTAGATCCACCAGTAGTTTACCACCGGGAAGTCCAATTAAGGTCTCTGTGTGTTTGTATCACAGGCAGAGATGCGCTATCTGGCAACGAACCGATCTCACGTGAGCGCTAAATGAAATCACAGTGACGCTCTCTTTAAAAATCAATGAGGCGTGAGATATGAAACCCACATAATCTGAAGCACACTGTGGGTGATGAAACAACAGCCTTTAAATGAGATTCACCCCCCACCAACAACCCCACACCCCCACCCCACACACACACTCCCTCTCGTGCCTGCTCAGGGAATAGTTTTATGGTAAATATCATGGGAAGGTTTCACAACCTTCTCATTGGCTCAGAAGTCACAGACTCCATCATATAAAGCGAGTGTGCCCGTTCTAGCAGCCTTTTCCCGCTGGCAAGCGTTTTGGATCACACTTGGACTTCGCCGGACGGGAAAACACCTTTTACGCACAGAGTGCTTGGAGAGGTTGCAGGCGAGCGCACGCCGGCGATCAGTTTTTCAGAAAAGGAAAAGAGTTACACAGCCAACAGGTAGGTATGTTTGATGTTTGATTGCTGTTGATTGACTGATTGTTGCATCGCAACCGTAGTTTATGCGGCTTTGTTTGAGAGAACAAAGTTATTTGGACTCACTTATTTAAATGATTTCATTGCGTAATTAAAATTTTAGAGAGTTAAAGTAATTTTAATTTGAAAAAATAGCAGAAGTTGGATTTGCTAAAAATGCAGAATTCAATAGCAGCTCGTTTCAGTCGTTTAGAGGACAATTAGACGGCTATTTTAATCACCCTATGTTGCGCAATATTTTTTCATAGATTTAAAGTGCTCTTTGGAGGCGCGTGGACACAATCAGTGTATGAATTGTGAAAGAAATGTGAGCTTCTTAACTCTTCATTCCTTTACTTGACTAAACTGTTACTGACTGAGGTGTAAAAGGCACATTTAGACTAATGTTTGTGTCTTATTAGGAGAAAGGATTAGTAAATCTCAACAAATGGATGTTGTGTCAGTTTGTTCTCATTGGATGTGATGTCTTCTCTTCATGCATCACTTTTCTGTTCACAGACAAACTGTGAGCGGAGGCATCTGAGTGGGCATGTGGCTACTGGAGAAGCTCCGTAGCTCTGTGGAGAGTAGTGGGACAAAATCCCAGCCCCCGCAGACGGCTGAGGCCATTCCTGTCTCTGTTTATGCCAATGTCCTCACTCCAGATAAGATCCCTGATTTCTTCATCCCCCCTAAACTTATCTGTTGTCCACCAGAAGAGTCACTTCCCTCAGAACCTCAGCTCTGCTCCACCGTGCGACCCTCCTCCTCTGATCATGCCATCTGTAGCCAGAGCCCCAGAGCTCGGAGCAGCAAGAACCCCTGCAGCCCTCGTCTCTTTTCCCGCCTGGGGGGAGAAACACGCAATCTGCAGAAGTCAGCCAACCGTCACATCATCCAAATAGAGAGTGCTGATGAGCCAGGGGCCGGATCTGTGGACAGGGTCAGTGTTGAAGTCAACACTAATGCAGACCCCCAGTCACAGACTGCAATGTCCCTGTCGTATGTCCCCAAGGCTCAGACCTCCTATGGGTTTTCAACCTTGGTGGAGTCTCCTCACACCCGGCGCAAGGAGAGCCTGTTCCACAGCGATCCCAGCAGCCCACTCACCTCCCCGAACTCACAGAGGCGCTCCCAAGGGGGAACTCTACTGGCCCCGGCTGACTCCAACCCCTACCGCTACTTCAGTGGTGGAGAGAGTGACACCTGCTCCTCAGCAGAGTCATCACCTTTTAACTCCCCGCTCCTGTCCCGCTCTGCCTCTCTCCTACGCTCCATTACCCAGGAGACACAAGCCAAGGTGAGGATTTCTGTTTCTATATGTCTGAGTATATGAATTAGCTGTTAGAAAGTTATCAGTGAAGGTGTTCTAAAAGTGTTTTCCTTGTTTGATTCGCTGTGAGCCTTCTTTTTGTATGTTTACTAGTTGCCATATCTCTCTCCCTCCAGGTGTCTCGTGCCAAGCGCTCCCTGGCGCGCCACAGTTCCCTCTCCACTGATGAATGCAGCTCAGCAGACAACAGCCCCAACATGCAGCGCCGCCGCATGCGCTGCCCTCCCTCTCCTGCCTTCCGTGGATGTAAAAGCAGTGGCTCAAGGGGCGCTGCGACGCAGCTCCTGCAGCGCGAGCACACCGTCAACCTCCACAAGGGGGGGACACTGAGGCTGAGCACTCACTACGACCCGGAGGCAGCTCGGCTGAGGGTGCGCGTGCTCACAGCTGAGGCCCTTTATGACAGGCAGACGGATCTTAAAAGCATTAACTGCTGTGTAGCACTCTACCTGAACCCTGGCAAGCAGCAGAAACAGAGGAGCACCATCATCAAGAACAGCAGGAATCCAGTGTTCAACGAGGACTTTTTTTTTGACGCACTGCCCCAGGCACAAATAAAGAGTCTGGCCATGAAGATAAAGGTAGTGAACAAAGGAACCAGTCTGAAGAGAGACGTGCTTCTAGGAGAAAGGGAGGTGCTGCTCAGTGAGCTGCTGGAAGGCCTCTAGGGAGCCCCTGTCAAGACTTCGGTGAAAACAAGCAGCTCCACATCTTGAAGTCCCTTTCTTCTCTGGCTACCTTTTTATCCCTCTTCACCGATCTGATAAAAACTGGACAGGCGAGAGCATGCTGATGACAAGGGAGTTATATCTTGCACACTGTGTTATGTACATCAATGGACACAAAACCTGAGCATTCTGTAGAATTAAAAGTCCCACTTTATCAAGTTGCCAGCACTAGCTTTTTTTTTTCAGAAGTCAGTCCAGGTCAAACACACCACCGTTATTTACGTGCTTACCAGTAAATTAGCAATGTGAACAGTGGATCTGCAGTCCATGTTTGTGTATTTTTCTTCAAGTATTGAGTTACAAAAGGTGTTGCCTTCTCCAATGAGCATTGTGATGTGGCACAATATCATATCAGCTGTGATGCACTAATGGTCCTGTTTAAGCTGGAGCTGTATTTTTGTAATGATGCAGTAAGATTACATGTGAGTTTTTGCACGTTCCTGTGGATGCCTCTGTGTACTTGAAAGAATTTATATTTGGGAATTAGATTTTAATTGCTAATGGATGTAATATTAATATGACTGCCGTTACGTGATATGCTTTTGAACTTACAAATAAAAACACTAAACTCACCCTAAACTTACCCTGCAGCTTTGTCTCAGTGATTTTACCCTCTAATAATTCCTTGGGATCAAGAGCAAGCCCTGGGAAATGATTTTAAACCCTCCTATGCCCGCCTTGAGCTCTCCATTTTTGCAAACAAGTCTGAGGCAGGGTCCTCTGAGACAAGCACGGGCTGGGTGTCATTTGTGAGGCTTTTAATCCTGGTTCTCCGCACACAATATTGTCTCTGTGTGCATTCAAACTCCCTGTTTAATTTTAAAAACACGTTTCCTATTCAGACTGTCCTCTAATGAGTTTCAAATAGTTATTACGGATGGCAGGAGGTACAATCATGGCAAAATCGCTCTCCTGAAACAAATGTTGGCACAAGCTCTCCTGCATACAGTGAGGTTATATCTTGATTTATGTGTTCAATCTTTGAGTTGATAAATGGATATTTGTGCTGAGGATATGGAAATAGGGAGATGCACAAGAAATACAAAACACCCTGTAGTCAATATTAATACATTTCTCAGGCGTACAGGCATGGTCCCACTGCTTAATACAGAGAAATATCTGAGTGTGGATCCTATGCCTCCTCTACTGGTGAAGTACCAGAATGACACTTCACTAAAGCCTAAAAAAATAGCCACTCTACCTTTTTTATGGCATATTTTAATCAACTACTGACCTGCCCTGGGTGACGCCATTCTTAGCTGTGCCCATATACCCCAGGACTTGTGCTGCCATGACCCTGAAAAAGAAAGAAAAATATATTTCATTAAAAAATGCAAACACTCTGAGAACACTCGCAGGCTTATAAGCCCTCGGCTGATCTGCAGCCAGCTGCATTTGATTATAAAGTACTGAAATAAGTCACAACAAGCCCCCACATGGGACACATTCATCTGTGAGCTTAAAGAAGATTAATTTCCCACTGACTTGAGAGCAAAGAGATAAACTGGTGAAAGAAAGTTAAGTAATTATTTTTGTCTCTGCAGACTTGGTGAGGCAAATTATTTGAAAAGTGACTGTCTAATAATCTTTGAATTAAGCAAATCATTAAGTAAAAGGTCAGCCTAAAGTCATAATCAACAGATTCATTTGAAAGTGATTTTTCTTTTCTTTTCTTTCTTTCTTTCTTTTTGTCTTCCATTGCTACTTAAAGGCCCTGAAAACATACTTTAAAACAACATTTTCTGCCAAAGTTAAAGCAGTTTTGGTTATTTCACCACAAGAGATTTCTGTCTGTGCTGTTTTATCTGTGCTCTTCTCAGTGAATTGAAGTGGACATGCTCGGTTGGAAAAAAAAAAGCTAATATCACATATTTTTGTACACCAATCAGGATCTAGCATGTATTATAGTCAAAACCCTGATGACAGTTTTTGAGTTATTTGCTCACAGCTCAAGCACAGCCCAAGCATCCTACAGATTACAACTAGTGATTGATCAAACTTTAATTCTGGCACAGTAGTTTGACACTTCCTGAATTTCCTTTGCACCTGACCACTTTTGCACTATAAAATCAAACAGTGCTGTGTATTCACAATATGGGCTAATGTATATTCATAAATGAGTGAACATTACACAAAATGTAAATTTATTCCAGGTTCAATTTTGTTTTCAACCCTTTTTTTTTATAAAGAGGAATGAGAAATCTCATGCTTTGGCATGACTGCTATCGTGATCTCTGTGATTCTATCAGCAAGCAAAGGTGTCATGTCATTACACCAATATTCAAATCCCCAGAAGTAAACGTATTCTATGAATTTATAAAATATTCTAATCCTTCACTGCTCCACTCATCATCAAAAGCTTCAATGCTGCACACCACGCTGATGTTATGCATAGAAAAGCAAGTAGATGACTTTTCATACTGTGGAGAGATGTAGACAGTAAAGTCACTATCTACATTCCAGTGAATGTAAGGTCTCGGTGTTCATGTACAGCATTGTGCATGTCGATATTCAAGTCAGTATTCTGACCTCTGTCTTTGTGTAGGACGATAGAGTCATGTGATCTCCTCAAGACTCTTTAAGATGTTCAGATCAGTCATGCGTGTTTCCAGCTTAACTCCTAGTTGCAAAAATATCCTGTAACAAACACAAGGTCACCTACATGCTGTTATCCTCCCAACATTTACAGCTAATCTGCCCAAGAAAATGCTCCCAAACATTATGAACAGTACTGCTGTAATGGTGGTGTATGGTTTACCTCAGCCACCTTGTTTTTTCACCAATGTGATTTACTGTACTGCAGAAGGATTAACCACCTACTGATGCTGGTAGTAGTGGATGATGGAGGATGTTTGCTCAGAAGGCAGGAGACCTCCTTGTGTGTGAGATTCAGGTTACTGTCAGTTGAATGTGTTGTTTTAGCTGTCTGCAGCCTGTATATCATTATATAAAAGACTGACTGAAACTTACTATCTGAAATCACAGCTGCAGGTTAGGCTAGCTAGTAGTTGTTGTTTTTTTATATCTCTTTTTCTGTGTGTTACTCAGTATGTCAAGCAAAAGAATAGCTACGTGTTCACCATCATTGGGATAACACAACTCTAGAGGCTACAGTCGATAAAACAATATCTTTAAAAATGCACGAAAATAGTTGTGTGTTCATTTCCAAGTAGCCACACAGTATTGGAGGATTATATGAACATCATTTTCGGGGATATCCATAAGAATTCTCCTTTCTAATGCGCAGTTTTTACGTTTTCACAGTGATGAGATGCAACTTACCATTTAAACTGAGCACTCTTTGAGAGGGTGTATTTGGTTTGTGAGCCGGGCACCAACCGGCTCTTTCTGTCTACACTATCTGTAGTGGTGGCCCTCGTTGATCCGAGCAACCATAACAAACGAACCCATCAGCTGGTATGCCATTCAATTCACCTGCACCATGGGAAATGTAGTTTTTTTATAAAGTGGCAAGCGGCTCGGTCTTGGAACCGGGAATTCCATCAAAACTACGTCACCCAGAATGCCTCGCTGAAATCGTAAACATAGACCTGTCAAACAACACACGCCATCTTGACAGCACCCTCAAAATGGCAGAAAGATGTGAGCTAGAAACCGAGTCCAAACTAAGACTCCTGCTCTCTGTTATTTAAAACCAGACTCGCCAGTTTTGACAGAAACGAGTGGTTATGGGGTTGGTGTCCAGCGCGGCAGGACACAGCGTGTAAAATGGACATTACGACGGCGGTTTTCAACGCGGCCAGAGATGGTAAGCTAAAACTTATCCAGAAGTTGCTGAGCAACAAAACTCCTGAGGAGCTGGAGGCTTTAGCCGAGGAGAAAACACAGGGAGGAACTCCTCTGTTGATAGCCTCTCGATACGGACATTTAGAGGTTGTAGATTACCTCCTTGAACACTGTAAAGCTAATGTTGAACTCGGGGGTTCCGTCAACTTTGACGGCGAGACCATCGAGGGGGCTCCGCCGCTGTGGGCGGCTTCGGCAGCCGGTCACCTCCCTGTGGTCAAGACTCTACTGAAACACGGTGCCTCAGTGAACAACGCAACACTAACTAACTCAACGCCGCTCCGAGCTGCCTGTTTTGACGGTCACCTGGAAATCGTCCGCTACCTGGTGGAGCACAGAGCTGACATGGAGGTCGCCAACCGCCACGGCCACACCTGCCTCATGATCTCCTGTTACAAGGGCCACAAGGAGATAGCCAAGTTCCTTCTGGACCGGGGTGCTGATGTCAACCGCAAGAGTGTGAAAGGAAACACCGCCCTCCACGACTGTGCTGAGTCAGGTAGTCTGGACATTATGAAGATGCTGCTGAAGTGCAATGCCCGCATGGAGAGAGACGGATACGGAATGACCCCACTCCTCGCTGCAAGTGTAACAGGTCACACCAACATTGTGGAGTACCTGGCCCACCAGCCTCGCACCTCCAGAGAGGAACGCATTGATGCACTTGAACTTCTTGGGGCTACTTTTGTGGACAAAAAGCGAGACCTCTTGGGGGCAATGAGGTACTGGAGAAGGGCTATGGAGCTGAGGCAGCCAGGGGACAAAGCTGGATCCCTGGCCAAGCCTCCACCTGGTCCCCCAATCCCTGCCTATGGCTGTGCGCAGGAGGTGAGCACAGCAGAGGAACTGGAAGCGTTGATCACAGACCCAGATGAAATGAGGATGCAGGCTTTGTTAGTTCGAGAACGCATCCTGGGGCCATCCCACCCAGACACCTCTTATTACATCCGTTACAGAGGAGCTGTGTATGCTGACTCAGGCAACTTTGAGCGCTGCATCAGCCTGTGGAAATATGCATTAGACATGCAGCAGAGCAACCTGGACCCTCTCAGTCCCATGACAGCCTCCAGTTTCCTGTCCTTTGCAGAGCTCTTCTCTTTTGTTCTTCAAGACCGGGCCAAAGGCACCTTATCAACGCGCATCACCTTCCATGATCTGATGACCGTGCTGGGGAAAAGCGTGAGGGAGGTAGAAAGAGCTGTGGCGCAGAAGGACAACCCTCCAGAAGCTCCTCAGTTCACCAAGGCCCTTTCCATCATCCTCCATCTAATCTTTCTGCTGGAGAAGCTTGAATGCAGCCCAGAGCAGGAGCACCAGAAGAAGCACACAGTGTACCGTCTGCTGAAGCTGAACCCTCGAGGTCGGAGCAGCTTTACCCCTCTCCACATGGCTGTAGACAAGGAAACCACATCTGTGGGCCGCTACCCGGTGGGCCGCTTCCCCTCCCAGGCGGTGGCAGCGCTGCTCCTAGAGTGCGGTGCAGATGTTGATTCACGTGACTGTGAGAACAACACGCCACTGCACATTGCTGCTAACAACGGTTGTCCAGAGATTATGGCACTACTTATGAAGGCTGGGGCTCACTTTGATGCTACAAATGCACAGAGGAAGACAGCCTACGAGCTGTTGGATGAGCAGAGCAGCGGGCACCCGGCCCTCTACCCGCTGAACTACGTCACCCTTCAGTGCCTGGCAGCGCGTGCAATTGAAAAGCACAGACTGCCCTACAGGGGACTTATCTCTGAGGAGATGGAGGCTTTCATTGAGCTGCACTGACTTCCACTCCACACTCTCCCCTGATGAGGAACCCCTGCACTACTCTTCCTGTTGTCCCTCATACTTTACTATGACCTGCCACAAACATGTCATTCTCTTCATCTTTGTCTCTTTTGGCTTTGACTGCTTTGCTCCTGGCCCCACCAGCCTTGTGTCAGACCAAACCATAGCAATAAACATCCAGCCTCTGGGCTTAAATCTCTGTCTGAAATCTGGTCAGTTATCGCTTTATTCTAACTTTAAGTCACGTGGACTTTTAAAGTGATTGTTGGCTTCCACTGCTATTTAAATCTGGGAGAAACATCAACATGATACAGGCTTGAATGCATTTTTTCCTACGTTTCTCCCACTAAAAAGGAGAGTTACGGTATGATGGTGCTTGTGTGTGTTTGATGGCGGCTATACTGATTGAGAGATGGGCTTTAGTGTTACTGATAGGAAGCATCTGATCAAACTAGCCAGATAACATGCATGAAAATGAAGAGTGGATACGATAGCTCACGTGTTGTTTTTGCACATTCATTCAGAAAGGATGTGTTTGAACAAACTCACAACCCAAACTCGCCTGCTGGAAATTTTTGCCTGGCTCTACGTGTTCACATATACCATCTGCCATGCTTCTTTGGTATGAGAAGGTGTTGAATTTACTGTGCCAAATGTCAGCCATGGAGCTATGTTCTGTTACAGACTGTAAACGGGTGGCAAAATGAAAAGAAACTAACTTATCTTCCAAATGATTAGCAGATGTAATAAACTGAAGTGGGGACATTCATGAGAAACATAGTTCCAGAAGATCAGCAGCTCGAGTTGTTTGATATTTCAGACTGTGACATGAATGACAGCCTGCAGAGCCATCATTTGAAAGACTTTTACTGAGGATGAGTGGTGACACTGTTTTTCTAACACTCCCTGGTCTCCACACAGACGTTTAAAACCTATGCAGTTTGTGAATCCTCCGATCAGAGGCAACGTTTTTTCAAGCAAAAATTCACTGCATAAACAGATTTTACATTATTCTTCAATTTTACATGCTTATCTTAACATGATAATGAGTCGAATCTGGGGCTGCTTCACTGACAATGAAGTAGTATCTTCTGAATTTATAAACTAAGAATGTTTTCTTAAAATTTCTGCCTATGTCCAAATGAACAGGAAAGAGCCTAAACTGTGCCTACATGCCTTTACTTCTGGGTAATGTCACCATTAACAAAGATATTCAATTCATTGTCAAAGAAGCAGCTTCAGTAGTTGGACTTAGGTGGTGATAACAACAGAGCTCACACTCTGCTGTTTGTATCCACGAAGAAAGTCACAAGTTAAATGTCCAAAATCATGTTTTAATTCTGTTTTGGAGTGGATTTTCCCTTTAACCTCAGATGCAGTTTGCAGAAACAGAACAGATGGCTCTCCGGCCATTCCTGCATCTTAGTCTTATTTTTAATAGTCTCTCTTTTGTTTATCTTGTGTTATCATGAATGTTTTATTTGTCTGTCTGTGCTAAGCACTACAAGTCGAATGCACACTGAGAAGCTCTATAAATCCTAAATAGACAACTTACATTCAGGCTATGAATTGTTGCTGCCTTTATCTTTCTCAACTGATTCGTTTAACTGATGATAACTCAAGAACAAAAGTGTGTTGGAGATACTTGAATAAAATTCAGTATCACAACAGGATCTGTGTGATTGTGTGTGGCTGATCTCAGTTTTGTTGTGTCTTTTCCACATGCAGATTCTTAGTAGAAATTTATGTGATTTAAAAAAAAAAAAAAAAAAAAAAAGTATCTGAAGTATCTTTAAGTATCTGAAAAAGAATCTCCTTCTGTGCTCTTCATCACTAGTTCTTTAGCTTGAGTGCTGCTGCTTACGAATGCAGCATTTGCATTAAGAGCATCATTACATATTTAGATGGATTGAAATTGTTGCAATAGCAGGACATGAAAACCCTGCCACTTCATCAGGGCAGCCAGGTCTATAAAATTACTTTATTTAGAGAGTGGAGGACACATTATTTCCGTCTGTATACTAAGTGTTACATTAGCACATTATTAAAAATAATCAGTGCCCACTTAATTCAGCTCTTTACACCAAACAGGCTTTCCACTGCTCTGCTCACATAAACTTAAGGACACAGAAATAAAGCATAACAGAAACTTGATCTTTCTGAGTCCTGCACTCTTCAAGTATAAATAGAGTGCAATTAACGTCACTGCTGCAGGGCAGTGGTAGAGACAGGGCACTTACCCTGCTAATTTTAGGGGTCTTTTGCCCTAGCTTCAACTCTGAAAATGGGAATACTGTAATGCTATACAGTCAGGCAGGTCATAGGGTGACTGGCAGAGACAGTGCACAGACGGCAGAGACAGTGCACAGACAACAGAGACTGCATTATCCAGACAGGAAACAGAAACAATCCGAGCTAATTAATTTATAGATGACAGTTGCTGGAACGTTATCCCAACCTAAAATGTTAATTAAATGCTTTTGTTACTGTTCATTGTTTCGGTGAATGTGACAGGAGTCATGTTGGCAGAGTTAATTGAGAAACTCCAGCTATTAAATGGGGGCTGAATTGCTTGTGACACCATGTATTCAATCTGCTAAAGTGTCATTGTAGACAAAACACAAACAAACAAAACAGGAGGTCTTCTAAGGCTGACTTGACCTCTGACATCTCTGGAGGAGGAGCCTAGTGGTTGTAGTAATCATATTTAGACTTAAAATATTAACATTTGAAGCAGATATCAAAGAGAAGTACAATTGTTGATGTTGGGATGAACAAAGAGAACGTGTCTCATGTACTCCATATAGGAAGGAAGTGCATCCCTTCACATGTAAAAATGTTCCAAATATTTTTGATATAAAAATGATTTATGGAGCGTTTCCTCTGCCAACAAAAGAAACATACAACAGACATACTGGTATAGCTCATCCTGGATTCAGGAATCTTTTGTGTTAATGCTTTCCACCTCAAGTAAATGAAACAACACATAATGGTAACTTCCCACTAGATGTCAGTAGCAACAAAGAAAATCAATCAGACTGGTAGCCTTTGTCCCTTGAGGACCGTGTGATAGACTCAAAAACTGTAGCTTCCAATTACCGTCAGAAGTGATGGCAGTTGGTTAATTTTCCTGTCTCTTTCTCCCACTCTGTCAAGCAGTCTTTGTGTCAGAGAGTGGTGGAGAAAGAGAGAATGAGCTGTTGAGAATGACTTTTACCAAGCCATTAGGCAAGGCTGAATATGCAATTGTAATGTATCTGGATGAACAAAAAATATATATATATCTTGGTAGACAGAGTTGCTGACACTGAGTCCGTGTGCAGGGAGCTGCAGGAGGGTCAGCAGAGAGGTCGGAGTAAAGCCTCCTTCATACAGACCTGGAGCATCATGCCAACCTCAAACACCACACTCCAACACCTCAGACTTCGCCCTTGTGGCGGTGGTTTATGTCATGTTGTGTGACCTAAATATGACCAAATCCTTAAAAAAAAAAAACAAAGGCCAGTGTTAGTCTATGTAGCATCTTTAAAGAGCTGATTTTTTTTTTTTTTTTTTAAGTTTCATTTTTATTGATATTTTTCAGCAAAATTAGTGTTGACATGGGGAACACAATAACTGCACTGGAACACAATCTTTTACATATGCCCATTTATAGGCTACACACTGTTCTTATTGTAAGGTAAGAGTCAGGTACATACCTTTCATTCAGTCCAGTTATTCTTTGTTGGATGGTTTGCCCGCAGCCATTTCCATCCAATGCCTTTCAAAAAATAATTTAAATAGATAGGCTACTCATCCTTTATCAGGGATTTTTGCCCTGGCATAGTGGATTAAAATTAAATTAATCTCTTTTTTTTTCCAACAGATTTTTGGAAAAGGAATCAGCTTGATACAAAAAGTGCATTTGGGGATGACATTCAGTTTATCTCACTGATATGAATGATTGATTTATAACATTGAGTTTAACATTATTTACCATCAGTTTCAACAATATCTGAGCATCATAACCCTCATTAAGGCAGGTTTTGTTGCAGGGCTGTTGGATTAGACTGGATTGGCTTTGACAGGCGAACATATTAAACTGGCAATTTAGTGTAGGTCTTCCACAGAACAAATAAGGTGAATAACTCCTTGCATCCGTTGTCCTTAACAATAAGTATGTTGTTACCCTATTCTATCTTATTGTATTATTTACCTCCTCTGGTGTTATTAATATATTCCCATAACACCCCACAGCAAGTTATGTTTGACCTGCAATATTTTAGAGTGTCCAGCTATAATTATAGAGGGAGTTCTGCACTGTAGGAGCTGATATGGGGCTCTGACTCTGTATTCATGCCAGCAGCTATGATTAGACACTATATTATGGGAATCTACGGGGTTTCAAGGTGCTTATCTTCATTTGAGCCCCTGGGGAGCAGAGTGGAAAAATCAGTCACCTATACACAAGACCGACCTACCTCAGCAGCCACCTCTTTTGCACCAGTCAGCGATCCGGCCAGAGGTGGAGGTGGTGGTGGTGGGGGATGTGGGGTGGTAATGGGGGTAATAGAGGTGATGGGGGATACGGTTGCTATTGGAGATCTTGCCTGCATCACGTCATGTATGTGAGGGGGGAGGGACAGAGCACCGGTGGATGTTTGATAGAAAGAGAGAGAGAAAGAGAGAGAGAGAGCGGGGAGGGGGAGGAGAGGAGAGAAGAGAAGAGGGAGGGAAGGAAGGAGGAGGGCATTGAGGAAGAAGGCAGGGAGTATCAATGACATCAACCAGCAGTATCTGAGGCCGCCCGACCAGCAATGCTCTCCCGACAAAAGGGCTGAGGAGCAGCCGTGACCCGCTGCGCTCCCGAGAGGTCGGTCGACATCCAGGACGGTGGAACGGGGGCACCGGCGATGTGTGCATGCATCCTCCACAAAGACAGACCTTTTTCTGAGTGGAGCCCTGCTGCCACTGGATTACATTTATCCTTGCTGTTTCCGGGGAAGCTTCCAGCTGCAAATCCACCCACATGAATCTACCAGACAGAAAAGAAGACGGAGCACTTCCTACCAAGGTAACTAGCTTCCTACATCCTTGTACAGTTGATGTTTGCAGCCGTGCACCCCACCCAGACGGCTTATTTTCACTTGTCGAATAGCCTTTCGGAAACTAATGAGGTAAGAGTATATCCCAGCCGGGATGAAATTTCACCGTTTAGCCTCTCTCAAGGGCCGAGTGTCTTCTTTGTATTTTTCTCTTTCATCCCAGCATCACTTGAGAGTTTGTTTCTACCGTTTGGGTGAAACGCAGACCGCGGGGCTGTGCAGATCAGGCTGGTTGGCAACAGCACTGTGAGTGCGCGTCCCCCTTCACCCCCCTCCCCCCTCCCTCCTTCATTGTTGGCTGGGCAGCATGAGGGACCCGGGCACACTGGCAAAGCCTTTGTTCCTCATCCACTCTCATTTAAAGTGGCTTCTTTCTGATGGCCCTTTAAAGCTCTCTCAAGGTAAAATGAGTCTTGTGTTAAGTCAGATTTTTTTAAGTCTCAGAAAAAGACAGAGAGAGAGGTAAAAATATAGACAATAACATTGCAGAATAAAATGCCAAACCTCATGAAAAAATAAATAGAGCACATGCATCTGATAGATTTGTCAAGGATGTTTAAAAAGAAGTCAGAGGAAGCTCTAAGTCTGAGTGATATTTCAATGATGCCACAGCAAAGTGAAATCCCTTTTATGATAATGTCATTCTGATCACTTTTTAGGAAGCCATCACAGACAGTATAAATCCATATGGGCTATTATACTATTACTAATATTAGAGTTATTTTCTGTTGGTATTGTAGGCACCAGGTGGCAAAACGGATGGACTTATTAAGCAAGACTGTTTTCTAGACAATAGAGTGGCGGCTGCATCTGCTACTCTCAAGCGATACTTAAAACAATCCCATCTGCACATATAGGCAGTGTTTTGTTGCCCATAGACCTCTCATATGACTATAAATATACGCAGCAGGATTTGCTGTTAATGCAGCCACTCACGCGTACAGGCAGAGTGTAGTTTAATGATACATCGATTCATCCTGACACATTTTCCGAGGGCTATTGCTTGTTTGGGATTTAATCATGTACACTTCAAATGCCTGTTTAGGTTTTCTGTATTTCCGCTGTGTGGCCTGTGTAAACTGGAAAATTGCACTGTTGTGGTGAATCCGAGGGAGGTCTTCCTCCTCACACACAGATGGGGAAATTTTCCCCGGGGCACCGTGCGTTTGCTGGTTATTGTTCCAGACCATTTCCACATCCCTAATTATTTTAATCAGTCATTTTTACACATGGATTCCTCTCTTTAGTAGACCCCCAGATTTTTTTTTAATCCTGTCTTTTCAGCTCCACTCCCTGCCTAACAGAAGAATACACAAGGCACACCAGCTGCATGAAAGGGACAGGGATCTAGATATTTGCATTATTTTAACAGGGAAAAGTCATTATGTGGAAGCAGAATAATTCAACTGGCAAATTTTCTCTTTCTGTCTCTGGGAAACAGATCAAATAGTCTCCTCCATGAGCCGAGAGATGCTCGGCCCCACAGGTATTCATCTAGGCACTGTTCAGAGCAGCAGCTTATGAAATCAGTGATGGCATGTACTCCCTTAAATAGCATTTCACAGGGTTCAACTATAGGTCTCAATGGTTTTCTGCTCCTTCCAAGTGGATACCACTGTAAGATCCATCCAGACTTGAATATGCCAGATGACGTGTGCTCCCACTGGTGCAGCTTTGGTTTCACGTCAAAGGCCTCATTGAAGTCTTATTCCCACATTCTCACAGCAGCCTCACCCTACCTGCACCGCTCTCTGCTTTCCCTCTTTGTGTAACATGTTATGCCCATCCATGGATTTTGTCAGAATCTCTGTGAACGCTCTGCATTGGCTTTGCTGCGCCCGTCAGCTGGAAGGAGGGAGAACATCAAGGCGTGCAACTTTGATGCTGGGAGCATAGCCACCTGTATTACAAGCAGACGGAAACTTTGTTGTTGTCTAGGCATTGATATTAATTGACCTTTTCAAAGCTTTCCAAACACAGAGCTTTTGCTTCTCTTCTTGTTTATTCAGAGGCTGCTGAAAACAGTGCATACAGCATGCAGAATGAAGTCATTAAGGCTGGGCATAGTTAAAATTATTGTAACAGTTTTAGGAACAGTACTTTTTCTGATGTCGTTTTATATATTTCTTGACAAAAATGAAAATATTGAAACTGATGTCAAGTAAGGCAATATTAACTATACAGATCAAAATAGCAAATTATTCTCGAAAGGCTTTAAAAAGCATATGATACCTTCTATCCTTAGGCTTTAAAAAACATATGATACCTTCTATCCTTGGGATACGGATAGCAATTGTAATACGGAACATCCCCCAGAAGAAACCCTTTAATGGGAAAACGTCAGGAATATTTCTCTTCCTGGACTACACTTACAGGCTGCACAATACACAACACAAACGAAATCATAATTTTTTATTTGTTAATTTAACCTTTGTTAAACCAGAGAGTCTCTTGAGATATATTATCTTTAGTAAGGCTGGGCAATAAATCAGCATTATTGTTTATGGGCTTTCAGTGGAAGCACATTATGATATATGATTATACTGTTTTATTGTTTTACAAAATTCTGGTGGCCAGTGAACTCTGAGCAATTTTTAATTTATTAATGTTAAAAATAAGGAACTGAGAAGTTTTCTCTGATGTAATACTGAGCACAGTTCATTGCACTTGATTCCAACCAAATCAGTCAACCCTAAACTCTGTGGTGAGAACACACATACCGTAGAAAACATGTCTGTATGGAATTCATATTCTGCCACAAGTAAGAATGAGTTTGTGCATCATCAAATATCAATTGCATTAGACAAAACTTTTTGCACACGACTGTATAAAACAAAAATTGTTCTTGCCACTGAAATAATGTAGACAGATGTAAGAATAAGAATTATATAAAATTATAAGAATAGAGCACTACATGGTCATATATCATGATCAGTAAATCAGTAAATGATCATCCGGTTAAATTTCACACAATTTTTACTGCCATTATATTTATCTTGTCATTTCAAAGTAGTGCAACTTGCAAATATACAATAAATAACTGTAAAAGTCATGTGCAAAATTATTTAGGAAATCTGATTGAATTATCACTCAGATCTGGCACCTATGGTTATGGTTTGCCTACCTTTTAGCCTTATTTCAACTTTTTGGTACTGTATTGTAGTGTCTGATCACTGTTGTAACTACTTGACTGGAGATGAACTACAGTATATTAATTACATAGATACATAGACAGGTCATTTATGTGTACATAAAGAAGTACTGGAAAGTACCTGTACCTGACAGAAACTCCACTAGAGCCTGGTGGTGCAGACCCACCTCAGTCTGTTGTTGAGGATTTCTATAGTGAGCCAGACCCATAATTATCCTTTCTTCAGTCAGGAGGTCATCCGCAATTATGTGTGTGTGTTCATCATGTGTCTGTGTTTCCGTGTGCGCATATGAGTGAAGGCTAAGAGATAGGTTGTGACTTGACTGATGCCCTTCTCCAGATGAATCAGAGATTCTGATGTGTCAGCATGGATGAATAATGCACACTCCTCCACTACCCCTCTTCTCTTCCTCTCTTCTCCACCTCTTGTCTTCAGTCATTCGCCTCTCTTTTCATCACAACTGCCACATCTGAAGACATCTTCACCTTCCCTCTCACCCCTCCCCCTCCCCCTCTCCTCCCTCATGCAAAAGAGGGCAATCTTTCCCCGCCGCTGTCCTCTGGTCAACCCTCCTCTCTCTTCGTCAGCGGCTAATTCATTCTTCTCCTCCTGAATGAGATTTCGCCGTTGTCTTTTTTCAGCCAAAGTTTCTCTCCTCTGCAGACGTCGCTGCACATTACATGACGAGAAACATGTTCCCTGAGGTTTTCCTTCTGCTGACATTTGCACTGAAAATGGTTAAATGTGTTGATGTACACAGCTCATTATCCAATCATGGGAGGAGGAAGTGCAGCTATTGACTGTGTTCGACAGTTACATCCCTGACTGACAGGAGTCATTATGAGGGTAGGGCTGACTGACAAGATGGCTGACAAAGCAGAAGACAAACTACCTAATCAGAACTTGGAGAAAGTGTGGGCACCATGCACTTTGAAGTGTACAGTTAGCTGCCAATAAATGTTCAAACACCAGAATATTCTATGCACCTTGCTTCTAGCTCTTGACAAGTTCTCAAGAGTATTTTCGATTCTTGGAGTGAAAAACACCTCTTCGGTGCATACATAGAGAGCTGGATGAATTAATTTGGGCTGGATTTTTGCCAAAATAGTATTGAGACCTTGCAAGACATGAAATGAGAAGATTTTTGCTTGGCATTGCTTAATTTTTGTGATGAATATGAATATGAATGCTATAGAGGATAGCAAATTGTATCTATGTACCTTTTCCTACTAAGGGCCATTATATCAGTGTGTTATACACTGTGTGGCAAAAGACAGCATATAATTAGCTTAACTTAGGTTTCATAGTCCTGTGTGTGAATATGTCTTAGTTTTTAGCCATGCTAGCGGCATGGCTGTAGGGATGGCAGTGTCCGTCTGTCAGTCCGCCTCTTGGGTCCAGATTTAAATGTCTCAACAGCTCTTGAACTGTTGAATACTAGTGACTTTGGTGATTCTCTGACTTTTATCTAGCCCCATTACGGCAACAAAATGTCAATTTGTCCAGTACTCTGAAATATAGCCAAAACCCCATAAAACTAATGGCATTCCATCAGCATAAATTGTACTTGTGTTTAATGCTAATTAGTAAATGTAAGCATTCTAGCATGCTAAAGTAAAGGGGTACACTAACATGGTAAACATAGCAAACATTATACCTGCTTAAGCATTGTAATTTTGAGAATATTAGCATACTGATATTATCATGTAGCTCAAAACACTATTGTGTAGTACAGGCTCTCAGCATTCCTGAGACTGTAAGCCTCGCTTAAAATTTCTTTATCTGAGTAATTCTACATTCTAATAACTAACTACAAT